ATGCCATCTCCGTCCCGGCCCTCACCACCACCACCGCCCATGACCGAGGAGGAGGAGGCGGTGGAGCTCGTGAGGCGGGTCATGGAGGACTCCATGAACACCCACGACGAGTGCTAATGGGAGGGCATGGAAACCCATTTGGCCCTCTATGTGGCCGGCGACGTCGCCATCCCTGAGCTGGACATGGCCGTCAAGGAGGAGGTGCTGGAGGAGCCGCCCGCCGCTATGTGGAACCCACACATTGTTTGCGGCAGTGGTGGATCTGGTCGTCCATGGCGCCGGTCATGGCCAACGAGGTGGGTGTCGGGGCATGGTCACCCACGTCGTCGCGGTCACAAGAGCAGGAGCAGGAGCCACGGGAGGAGGTGGTGCAGGCACCTCCGTCTGGCAGGGCCCGCCAGCCCACCTCCGGCAGCCACCTCCATACGTTGACCTCATTGGCGACGACAACGAGTAGGACGGCGGCTACTGAGGATGAGGGCAACTGACGACGGACCATATCTAATTTCATTTTTATGTCTTTTAAGTTTACGTTTAATTAAGAACTATGTTGAAGTTGGCTAATGTGAACGCGAGGATGTGTGGATGTTCATATTAATATTATTTGCAACGTTTATTTGGGTTTATTTTGGGTCAAAATTCAAGTCCAACTATACGGAAATTTTGGGATAGGACGGCCCGGTTGGGCGCACCACACCGCACGACCGTAAGCGGATGGACGTGTTCGTTTTCTTCTACAAACGAACGAAATCTGGACAAAACGAACATCTTATTAAGATCGTGCGTGGAGTTGCCCTTAGGCAACCACGGCCGACAGCAAACCTCAATGCATGGCTAGGTACTATGCATGGTTCAGGGCAGTGGGGCAATGAATATTGAAAGGTGATGCGGAAATGGATCTGAGACCGATGGAGGTTGGAAAACACGTGGCAGCGTCCCTGGAAGCTGGAAGCCCCAAACCACACACGGAGCGAACCGAACCCGGCACACGTCACACCACCCGTCTACAAAAGCCAGCTGCCCTCCTTCCCGTACGTCCCGCTTCACAACACTAGAAAAAGAGCAGCAGCAGTCTAGCTAGCCATTCCACCAAACTCGAGTTTTATTTATTCGTCCTGCTCAGCACAGAGAGGGAAATGGCCGCCGGCGAGAGGAAGGAGGCGGGGGCGGCGCCATTGCTGCCTAGGGAGAGGAGGGTGTGCAAGGAGGGGTGCCCCGGGTGCAGGCTGGACCAGATCAACAAGACCAACACCGGCGTCCCCTACCTCAACTTCTTCTACGTCTGGGTCATCTGCCTCTGCGCCGGTGAGTGAGTCCTCACCTGTGTTTCTTTTTTGATGAGTTGTAAATGTTTCTCATCTAGCTAGTTGGACATGCTTTTCAAAGCAATCGTAGTATGTTGATATTATAGCAACTACTCCCTCCGTCTGGAAATACTTGTCATCAAAATGGATAAAATAAAATATATTTAAACGTATTTTAGTTCTAGATACATCTCTTTTTATTAATTTTGATGACAAGTATTTTCGGATGAAGGGAGTACTCCACAAGCGGAAATAGCATGACAAACATCAGTGGTCTATCCATTTGTACATGCTTCCCATATACCCATCCGTTTGAAAAATTTTGTCCCAAACTTGTTTTTTAAATGGATGTATATAGCATTTGAGGGATAAATTTTTTCGAACAGAGGGAGTAGTAGACGACGTACGGCGGCTCCGGTAGGTGTCTCTCTCGGCTCATCAATTCAATTCCTAGCTGACAGCGACCGCAGCCAGGAGCCTGGGGACGCGGCGGGTAGGTACGTCGTATCGCACCGTATGGCATGGACGACACCGTGGCGACGAGTCAGTTCGGGTGGGTGCTTACTCTACTCGTACTCACGTGGGCAACGGCCAGGCCATGCATGAAGCATCCTCCCTATGCAGGACTAGTGGGCGTAGTATTTTTTTTATTTTATTTTTGTGGGATTAGTGGTATAGTATTATGCAGGATGTATAAACGAAATACAAAAGTACACTTCCCTAATGCTACTGATCTTGTGTTGTGAATGTTGATATATTTTTCTTTCAACTTTGGTCAAACAAAGACTCGTCGCCACGGTATGTTATCTTATTAAATTTAGCGATTGCTAACTAACACCTGGTATGTTATCTTTCCAGCGCTGCCGATCCAGTCACTATTTCCCTACCTATACTTCATGGTATGTAGAGATGTTGCAAAACTTGGGCGTCGATATATTCTGATTCTGTGCACGCAAGTTATTGTTTGCTTTGATGAATTATTACATACTGGATGGTGATTAATTATGTGTTCACCTTTGTTATGATGCAACAGATTAGGGACTTGAAAGTCGCAAAGCAACAACAAGACATCGGGTTCTATGCTGGTTTTGTCGGTGAGGATTAATTATTCCATCTGACTGTTTGCCAATTTATTGGGAAAATACGGCGAAAAGTACTACAATGAAGTACATTGAGTTACTGACTGTACACTATGTGTATTAAGGGGCTGCATATTTCCTTGGAAGAACCATTAGTGCTGTGCCATGGGGCATGTTTGCTGACAAATATGGGAGGAAGCCTTGCATTGTGATTAGTATCCTCTCAATGTATGGGAAATCCGGTTGCATGTCAAAACATATTTTGTACCCCATTCAACTAAATCAAAGTAAACCCTATTATGCATCTTCCTTTTCAGCATTGTATTTAACACCCTCTTCGGCCTTAGCACGACATACTGGATGGCAATTGTTACTAGGGGGCTACTTGGGTTACTCTGTGGTATATTAGGACCAATCAAGGTAAATTTTCTACTGTCTGAGTGACTAGATGAATTAAAAAGTACTTACTTGTTGAAAACCCCATTGTTGTGTTCACATTCCCTAGGCCTATGCCTTAGAAGTCTGCAGAAAAGAGCACCAAGCTCTAGGAATTTCTCTGGTAAGAACAAATTATCTTTATATTTAGTATTTCAGATTCGGTTGACGGTTACTAGCTATTAATCATGTTTCGCGTTATGCCGCAGGTTACATCTTCGCGAGCAATAGCTCTTATTATTGGGCCAGCCATTGGAGGATTTCTTGCACAAGTGAGAATCAATCAACTTTGATATAGAGTTATAGAAATACATAGCCGATCCTTAAGAACAAACATCGTATTTTTAACCATTTTACCAAACTAAGGGCAAGTTACTTCCAAGAGCATGGAAAAGATGTTGCATATAGTAGTCCAACAAAGCTATTACTGCAGTAACGCATTAAGCCACCATAATTATATGTAACCATGGCCTAGAGCTTGAGAATAACGTATCATCTGCTAATTGATGCAATGAAAGACTTGAACAATAACAAGAATTTTCTATCGTGGCGTTCCATTGAAAGTTTAGGAATGCCTTATTCTGAGGGAATTTCCATATATTTTTATTGTAACCATTAAAAGTAATAAGTAGAACTTTGTTCATAGGATGAACATATAATGTCCCTTTGGAGAGTGATTAGTGATCTTAATTGAATGTCTTTTCGCTAACATTGTGTATTCTCTATACTGTATCAGCCTGCAAAGAAGTACCCAAATCTTTTCTCTGAGGAATCCATATTTGGAAGGTAAGTTATTACTCACACTGTTTCAATGATATTAATTTTGCATCATTGGAATATAAGATAAACATTTCAAACTACATCAATTATAGGCATCCATATTTCCTCCCTTGCTTCGCCATATCGGGTCTAGCGGCAGGAGCATGTGTTGCATGCATTTGGCTTCCGGTATTGCCTCCCAAAATCTCCCTATGGTTCTTTTACATCCCTTGAATTCCTATAGTTGAATAAAATATTTTTAGGAAACTCTGCACCTTTGTCATGATGAAAAAATAGAAGCCGTTGACACAATGCGCACACAAGTTGCTGATTTGACCTTAGAAGATGGAAAAGTTAAACAATCTGGACCTGGCAGAATGTCATCTACAATGAGCCTGCTAAAGAATAGGCAGTTGATGTCAGGAATAACCCTCTATTGTGTCTTCTCTCTTCACGATACAGCTTATCTTGAGGTAATCTATATTTATGTATCTAAAATAGATTCAGTAACATTTTAGTATGAAATGATGCGTGTATTAATCTTATATATAGTATAGGGAACAATCAGATAAGAAACCAAAGCAGGTTTTATTAATAAGTAACTAAAGCAAGTTTGCATGTGTTTTGTAAATTTCATCATTAGATATTTTCACTCTGGGCGGTAAGCAGTAGAAAATATCGGGGACTGAGTTTGACATCTCAGGATGTTGGCACTGTGCTAGCTATCTCGGGTACGTAGTGTTCCCTCAAAATTCATAATATGATCCCTCTGTTACCTAGTACATGTAATACTAATTTTGACTCGTTTTAACGTATGTCATTTTTGTTTGATCTTGTAGGTTTTGGTGTTTTGGTGTATCAACTTGTGATTTACCCACTCCTTGCCAAGTATGCTGGGTTAATCAAGGCATTCCGTTCTGCAACGGTATGCAGAATACTATGTAATGTCAAAATACTAATTTATTATGATGAATATATTGCACAATACTAAATGCATGTCTATTTTTTAGGTATTATCTATACTTCTGCTTGCAACATACCCATTCATGCGCAGTCTAAATGGTGTGGAGCTCAAAGTACTCATCGTCATAGCTTCGCTTCTGAAGAATATGTTTTCGGTAAGTCTCGCATATTCTTTTGTTGTTTTGTTTAAAGAGGAAAAATACGAGTCAGGGGTGTTCATCAACAATGTAGCAAAAACTGTATAACTCATCCAATAAAAAAGTTACACATCGCTGCTTACATTAGTAACCATCCTATACGAGCATTTTTATCGTCTTGTATAGAGGCCAGAAGAGCAATAAATTCTTCCTTTAAAAAATATAAATATGTTGATGCAAGTTTTTGGGTGGTCTAGAGAAACCATGTTTGACCACCACTTGTGCAAATGAAATAAAATTAAAAATCTAATATCCTTGGAGAAAACAAGCTCAATAGATAGTGACTTTTATAGAATATTCAGATATTCTAATGCAACATCTAAAATGGAACAGGCTACGATTACTATTGCATGTAACATTCTACAAAACACAGCAGTGGTATGCATCACCTGTCTCTCTGCATTTTCTTTGAGTCTTTTTTGCCATGTTCAAAAGTTTTTGATGAAAACATGTACAGACACAAGAACAAAGGGGTGTTGCCAATGGTATCTCCGTGACTCTGATGTCTGTCTTTAAAGCAGTAGCTCCAGCAGCAGCGGGAATTTTGTAAGTGTGTTGTTTCTTTTGTTTTGTGAGTACGAATTGCCCTAAGTTTTTGCTTGGCCGCAAGTGTGCTCCAAAGTTAGCTAATCTCTTGCCTTTTGCAGGTTTTCATGGGCTCAGAAGAATATAACTGGTTTGTTCTTACCAGGTAATTAGCCACATTGCTCGTCCATCAGGTTGTCCCTAGGTCATCGCAAAAGGAGCGGCGACCTAGGGACCATCTCAAATAAGATCCCAATACATCTACGTACCTATATAAATTAAATAGTATGGTTTTTAAAACATAACATCAACACTATTATGGGGTGGAAAGTTGGCATTTGGCCCCCTCCATGAACTTCACCATGTTGTATTTATCCAATAGTTATTTATGGTTTAGTACATGTATTGATAAAAATTATTTGCATCATGTATCACATATACATGGTGTATTAAAACTTTATTTTCTAATTAAAAATATACTTTTCATGTTTATGCCATTATAATAATTTTTATGATATGAAATACCCCCTCCGTCCCAAAATAAGAGTCTTAAACTTAGTACAACTTTGTACCAGAGTTAGTACAAAGTTGAGACACTTATTTTGAGACAAAGGGAGAGTATATGACAATGGAAGTATTTATGTTACTCTACTATAGTTTTTGATCCATGGTACCTCATTCGCACTAGGGCCTCCTTAATACTAGGGCCACCTCATTCGCACTAGGGCCTCCATAACGCTAGGGCCGACCCTACTCGTCCTACCCATGCTAATGCATTTATATGGTTGCTTTGCTTTAACTTCAATGGAAACATGTACATATTATCCGAGCATATACTTATTTTTTCATCATCCGATATGCAGGTGATCAGATCTTGTTCTTGATGCTGAACATGGTGTCAGTAATTGGGCTCTTGCTGTCGTTCGAACCATTTTTCTCTATGCCGAGTGCGACTAAATAATGAGCCCTCATTATGTACATGTATCTAGTCTAGTAAATTAAAATTAGGGGCACTATCACAGATTGTAGCAGTGAGTCAAAAACTACGTGACTTCAGTATTGTGTCATGAATATTTTTCATATTTTCTTTGTTGTTATTAGATGTGACGTGATATCTTTCCTTTTTTTATTAAAACTCCTAGGCAGAAGATTCTTTGGCTTACGATAACTTATTTTTTCTGGTAAGAAGATTAAGAATGTTGTTGTTGATTGTTGATCAGAAGAGTTTCATATGGTACCTAGTGTCGGAATATTGATCTTAGATGGTAACTGAACGAGTTAAAAGGTGGAGCCATTAACCCGGCGCACGTACCATAATCAGACTTGTAGCAATGTATTGGTCACGGTCTTTGTTCCCTACCACCCCACATATAAAATGAGGAACTCGTTCCTGTATGAGATGACCATCACGTATAGGTAAGGCATCCAAAAAGTACGAACTACCAATCCTAAAAATGGGAAGCTAAAGGGATCACAAGGCCATCTACCACCGCTGGCCACCACACGGTCAGTTCCGGGGGCATCCCTTACATTTGCTACATCTCCCTGCTGTAGCACATCTTCAACGGCTATCTCTTCATTACTGGAGACCCAAAGGTGCAGCCACAGGTTACGTACCACTCAAAGGTGTAGCCATGGGCCACCCCTAATGGATTGACATGATTCCAGTCAGTACCCAATCTTCCGCTGTATTTAAGTGTCATAATCGGGTATTAAGATCATATCATGTTAATCCTGAGGAGTTATTCTAACACCTTGAAGTCGGTTACAATGGGGTTCATGACTCCAATAAAAAAAGAGGCCAAAACGAGTTCTCACATAAAAAGAGAAGAAAAAATAAGAGAAAAAAAGAGAAGGGGCACACTACCATCCTTTTTCCACACTTGTACTTCAGAATAGCACCATGTACTTCATATATAAAGTTTTCATATACTTCATGATTATGCTAGTAGGTTCTTTACATTATAGAACCTGGTTTGTATATTCCGATGATGAGCTTCCTCAAATACTCGAGGTCTTCATGCGCAAGCAAGTTGGATGCACACCCACTTATCTGCATTATGAGAGCTTTCATACACTTATAGCTCTAGTGCATCCATTGCATGGCAATCCCTACTCCTCACATTAACATCAATTGTAAGGCCTCTCCATTGCCTAATGATGAAGCCTCATTGAAGTGAGCCTTTCTTATATTTTTGTCTTCTCTAAATCCCCATCATCATTCTCTTTGACATCCTAAGTGCTAAGATCATGGTCACGCTCAACTAGTGCGTGAGAGAGTGGATAGCTGACGTGAGAGAAGTATGATTTATTGCTTTTTTGGC